ATGGCAGGAGGCGGCGGCACCATTTCAGGTGGTGGCGGTGGTGGAGGCATCGTTTCAGGTGGTGGAGGGACCGGCGAGGCTGGAGGTGGTGGCGCAGGTGCCGGTGCCGTTGGAGGGGGTGGCGGGGGTACCGATGGCGGTGGAGGGATGTCTTCATCCAGGTCATCCCCCTCAAGAGCCTGTGGGCGCAGGTCCCCCACCGAGCTGTACATTCGGTAGTTCCCATTGATCTGGGAGCCGGAGCCTGCAAGGAAGAGCAAGAGCATGGCCGTGTGAGCACCTTCTCAGTCAGCACCGTGATGGCTAGCATCGCCGTCCTCCTAGGAAGCCAGTTTATTTTCCTCAGCAGCTGTCTAAAGCTTGTTGAACTGTAACAGCCACTATGCCTCACCCCTTAGAAGTTAATTCATTTTCAATGACTTCAAAAAATAATTAATAGTAGACTCTATTTTAGCATGAAAAATCTCATGATCAAACTGTCTGCTCCACAGTTTGATATACACACGCTTCCTCCTCTGAGGGCACAGTACTGCTGAGCGCTCAGCACCAGTCAAGGACTCAGCAGAGAAGATCCCTTACCAAGAGCTGCTTTTTCCTCAAAGTCTTCTGGCACCGACGGCGTTGGCACAGCCACCCCGTGGGATTCTTGGGCATTCTGCAATAGTTGAGAAAACGGAGCTGTTAGTTTAACGCCCAGGGTATCAGAGCAAAGTGCCGACAAGCAGGCCCTAGCCTGTATAGCTGGCAATTTGTCTACACAAACAGGAGCCGGATGGGATCCAGGGCCATTTCCGAGACATGGAGGTCCCTGCGGTAGCTGCTGTTGACGGGGTTTAAGGGGACGACTAAAGTGACCAGGGTTGCACAAGCCATGGACACAACTCCCCTGTGCTAGTCAGGTGCAGAGGGGCTGGAGAGGAGCACGGCTATTTCACATCCAAGCTTAGGGCTCCCCAGCCCAAGATCAGCAGCATTAGTTTCTCACCATTCACATACCAAGCAAATTTAATAGCTCCCACTGGTTTTGTGGGTATTGCTCTCCAGCAAGCACTGCCAGCCCATGCTGCAGTCACGTACACACCGCACTGAAGTCACAGACAGAGTTCCAGCTTTTTGGGAAACTGGCACCAGCATATCTGAACAGTCTGGGGAAAACTGCTACTTGTGTGGTTTGTGTTTCACTCTCAATTACTCCCTTCACATTCGGGCTGAAAACTCAGCAGTGCATTTAGCTGGTGCAGGACCATGCAATTTAGCAGCCTACACATTTGCGAGGATGCTTACAGCGAGGGCACTTTGGATAATTACAGCCACCCACCGGGAGATATTCATGGCACGTTGACTCACCTGGAGTGCTGACCAGGGCTCCTGCCTCCTACACCTGCCAGAAGCAGAAAGCCTCTCTCTCCTTTCCTCCAGTGACTCACTGCTAAGATAGCTCTGCAGAGGGACTGGAGCTGCTCCTGAAACGTACACTAACGCACCCAAGTCGGAAACACAAACTGATGCTGAATCAGGCTGTCAGCACAGACGTAAGCAACGGACGCAGCGGATTGGGCTTTCACATACCAGCCTTGGGAGAGACCCATAGCAAGGAAATAACACACCATGAGCAGCAGGAGCTCACAGACCCATGGGCAGTGGTCAGGGACACACTGCCCTGTTCCCAGGCTCCGGGGTCCACCCTGTGGCACACCTACTCACCCCGGCAGCTGTTTGCGTTAGCTGTTAACAGCCCCTTGTGCAAAGGAAACGTTATCCTACCATCAGTCTGCACTGCTCAGTGCAGTGGTTTTCTGCACACAAAAGCCTAGATAATGACTGAGCCTGTGCCATTTGCCTTTCACTGGCATTATCACTATTTTTACAAGAGATTGCTATAGTATTCCAAAGTCTCCTTGATCAAAGGTCAAGCTGGGTTTATACAACCAGCCCCATCCAGGGCTCAGACAGCGCATTAACATTACACACCGCCCTGGGTGTAGGGAGTTCAGGAACGTAGGAGCTGCTGGGGCAGAGCTGACTTTAACAGCAGCAGCCTGGGATCCTTCAGAAGAGCCCTGGAATCCCCCAGCTTTTGACAAAATAATAAGAAAATACACACGCTTTGCTTGCAAAGTCTGTCACCCTGCAGGTGACCAAAGATCCTCTATAACCACAAGGGAATGAGCCAGTTATTGGTGAGCCAGGAGAGAGTGAGTGGGAATTCACATTCCTGGAATTGCACAACTGATCAGACAACTTGGTGCTGCTGGAGAAGCCAAGGTCTGCTGAGGCATTAGGACAGATCTGTTAGTGGCAAAACATCAGACTAGGTGAGCCTTATAGCCTCATCTAAGACCTCTTTACTGGTCCCAAAGATACAGTACAATGCAGAGGAAAGATCCTTAACTTCAGCTGAAAGCCAGAGGGAAGACAAAGGCTAACAGAGGCACTTCAAGAGCCGATAATGAAATTGTCCAGAGCAATGAGATACCAAAAACCACAAAGAAAAAAACCCAGCAGTTCCCATTTGCTATGGAAATTCATTGTTGCCGGTCTCCAGAGCACATGGAGGATACCTGCCCATTTACAGGGAAACAAAGATGTCTGGGCACTGAATTAAAAGCAACATATGCATCACATGTTTGGACAGGAGTAGAAAGGGAATGACAGTCGGAAAAGATCTATGCAAAGCTGGAGGAAACAGAGTCCACATTTCATAAACGAGTAGTAATTTTGGACGTGTCACTTCAACAGGTCCTAAAAACTGGGCAAGCCTGTTTCACACCAAAAATTTCTGTTGCAGTTGCTAATGCTCAGCATCTCTCTCAAAAACCACCATCCTCACGTCACGAGCTGGCTTCTACAATGGAAAGCATCTCCAGTACGCTGCCAGTCTCCAGAGATGACTAGAAAGATTGTTTCCCTCTCCTGTGTTCGCGAGGGGTGTGACCCGCCCAGCAAACCTCCAGCTGATTCAGAGCAGGCTGCTGCGCCCGGGGTGGTGCGCCAGGAACCTGCATTTCCAGTTTGCGGTACCTGAATCAGATTTACGTGTGCCGAGGATCCCGTTGAGGGGAGCTGTCACTGTAACCACCAGGAATCGCTTTTCAGCGCTGGAACAGAGTTAGAGATCCCCTGTCCCCAGTGAAGGGGAGCCTGACTGTCCCACGGTCCCCAGCTCCCCCGCTCTCTCGGGAGCCCACGCATTAAATGAACTAGGTTTGAGGCTGCCTGTTACAAAAAACGCACCAAAATACAACTGCTTAGCATCCTGGGGTCTCAGAGAGGCCAAGGATTTCTCCAAATATGAAGAGCCACCCCCAAGCTCCTTGTTTTGAAGCAGAGCTAGGGAAGTTTTGGTGGCTATCTAAAGGAATTTATTCCCCCAGGATGCCAAAGCTCTGCCCGCACCTGCAGTGCCTGGGAAGCCGGCTGGGCAGGGGGACGTGGTGGTACCCAAGAGGCAGGCAGCGAAGCCCCCTCTCCTGCAATCCCTGCTGCGACTCAGCTCACTGCGCAGCGCGGCACGGCCAAGGGCCAGGCGGTCGGGGGAAGGAAGCTGCTCCGTGCGGGGAGAGCTGCCGGGCGCGCAGGCATACGAAGCCCGGCAGGCCCGGCTGCCGGGCAGGGTGTGTGCATCCTCCTGACTCACAGCTAGGCAGGCAGCCGCTCCTCAGCCTCCCCCCGCGCAGGAGAGCGGGTGGGTGGAAAGAAAGGGTTAAGGCGGGAGCTGCAGAACAGCTCAGTGCAAGCATGTATGTGGCAGCAGAAGCATCTGTGCCAAATCAAATCATCATCAAACCTAATCAAAATAATGCAAATATCCAACACAGACTGGTCCTTAAAGAGTGTTGCTTATTCCTACTAATTTCTTCAGTTAAACCTGTTACTCTTGGAAGAGAAGCACAGCAAGAGGGACCCTCACAAGGGCAATTGAGCGGAAAAAAGCCCCAGGGCCAGCTATGCCTCTGCAGGCAGCAGGAAAGCACCATGGCCAGGGTGACAGCCCTGAGTATTTATCCCAGGGGCATTTGTGCTGTTTATTCCTCTACCACACACACTTCCACTAGTAAAGCATTTGAAAGCTCTAAAAAGATGCAAAAGGCCAGTTGCACTCTAAAAACCGGTGATATGGGGTGCCAGCTATGATCACACACCCAAGCTTGTGCTACTGGAGAGGAGTTTCTCAGGCACCAGTCCTACAGTTACTCGACTCAGAGCCCAGGCGAGATTTTTCACCTGTTGTGATCTTTTGGAAGGCATCACAGAGGGCACAACCCCTTTGTAGAACCTGTGTAACCCCATAACTTCCTAATTATGCTCTCAAATAGATATATCAACTCCTTCCCCCCCCACAGCTGTCCTCCAGATGACACCTGCACAACCCCATTAACTCCTAATTGCAGCCAGGTGACAGCAGACCAGCCCGGTTTCTGCTGAAGGTGATGGCTGCTCTAAAGGACCGGGATGTACGAGAAAAAACATCCCTTGCTCTCAGAGGATCTCCTCGTCAAGACCAAGAGCTTTTATGTGTTTCACTGTCTTAAGTGACCTTCAGTGACCTGCCTGTATCACTTCAGAGTTAGCTATTGCCATCTCCAAAATATCGCTGAGCAATCATGTCCTTCGCTGTACTCTTTAGAGGATAAGACCTTTGGAAAGGTGCATTATGCGAGGGAGGAAAGCTCGCTCAACACACGCAGCATCGGAGCATCGAAGGCAGCAATGACCACATGTGGCTTCTGGAGGCAGCAGGAGGGTCCCCGCTGGGTTAAAGCCACCTCTGGGTCCAGCTGTGTTGGCACTTGCTGCTTCAGTCCCTGCAGTGGTAGCTCTGCAGGGAACAGTTTCCCTCATATAGAGACTGGAAAATCAGCCTCTGCACAGACACCTCCTGCATTGCCTCCTCGTTCCTCTGCTGTAAACAGGACACAGTTTTGCTAATGCTCTCTCCAGCGACATGCCTGATCCAGAGAGCGATACTGCCAGTAGCGGTTAGATAAAATGCAGTGCAAGCCAGATCTATCATCTATGTGCTCAGCAATTTTTTTTTAATTGAAAATACAAGTCTGATGATGCTTACGTCTCTCGCCTGAGTATCTTGCCTATGTCCAACACAAGCCTTGAACTCAGATCACCTCCTAATCCCTCATATGCAGCATTATTATAGAGTGGTTTTGCTTTTCATTTATTTTCTTCCCTCAGGTAGGGGATGAGAGCAGCAGCCAGCCCAGCTGGTTCTGGGCACCAGTTACATGCACTGCCATAACGAATCCCAGCAGGGAGCCGGATACTCACGAGGGGTAAGAAAGTCAGCAGCGGCCGGACTCTCGGACGAGGTTTAAGCGTTGCTGTGCCAGAGTCGGTCGTTGTCCCAAAGCGATTGTCACCGTAGTACACTTCAATCACATCACCTGAGGGGAAGAGAAGACTGTTAGCAGCAGCATTGCGTTCGAGGCAACAGGAAAAACAACACTGGACACCACCTAGTTTTAAAAAGTGCTGTGAAGGGTTTGCTGTATCAGCTCCCAGGAATGGGCAAACCCCATCAGATTCTGATCCCCCATCAGAGGAGTATCTGGGTGTTTTGGAGCCGAGTTGAAGATGGGAGGAGAAAGGTCTCAGGTGAGCAGGACCCCCGGGCAGGCGCTGGCAGCCCTGGCACACACCTGCAGGGTGCAGAGACCCTTCCCAGAGCTCCAGACGCTGGAGTTTAAAGAGCACAGATGTCAAGTCTATTCTGAAAGGCTTATTTTTAATACTAGCTAACTTAAATTTACCTCAGGAGGGTCAAAAGTTAGCACAAGCACTCCATTCGCTCCCCACCCAGATTATGTTTAGGGAAGGAAAATGCTTCAGCAGCAACTGGCTCAATTCTTTATAGCACCGTGAGGCTCCGACTCCCAGGAGAGCAGGAGGTGGGTCCAGGGCAGGTGCCCACAGAGGTGACAAACCAGCTCGTAAGCACGGGCAGGATCTGATCTTGGCCAATCCGTCAGCAGCTGGAATTGGGGGGGAGGCAGCAGCAGAGTCTAACCACCATCCACGCCAGCTGGAGAGAGCAAGCTCCTGCCCTTCCTCGCCTGCCGACCGCTCTGTGGGCAGAGCGGTTGCATCAAAGCGCAGAGTTAATTACAGGTTCTTCACTCAGCCCTATCATGACAACAGGTCCCTGTCACTTATGCAGCGGAGAGGGACAGCGGAGGTGTCCCTGACCCCTGGCTGCCCGCCGGCAGCGGCACCGTCCCTCGGAACTCCCGCTGGCTTGTGCCGAGCAGGACCGGGGCGAGCGGAGGGGAACACCTCGCTGCACCGCTCAGACACAGTGATGGAAACGGGACACACAGGGGCTTCCCAAGGGGGTTTTCCCCCCTCTGTGTTTTGCTGCCGGCAGCTGAGGGCAGTGGGAGGGAGGTGCCACAGCTGCTCTCCCTGCTGTGGATGGACACCACCGCACCCACAGCAGCCTTCTGCATGCTGCTGGAGCAATTTGTTTCTGACCCCTGATGCTGTTGGCACTGGAGGACAAATTGTGCTTGCCACAACACTTTCACACTTCAGCCTGCCTTACAGAGAAATGCTCTTAATGTCTTTCCACAAAGTACCACCATGAATGGAGATGCTATGGCAGAAAGGCAGTCACAGAGCCCTGGTGTTACACGCAGGAGAAGCCATCAGGTACTCCAGGTTCCCAGCCCTGTGCTTTTACCTTGAACCACACCTTTTGGGCCGGTTTATTTCTGACAGTGAATAAAGCTCATAAAATTAGTTTAATTACGTTCTTTGTGTCTGATTAACAGCATGAATTAACAAGCAGAAGCACTGAAGCATGTAAACCCCACCTTGGCTGGAAGGAGATACACAAATAATTCGTAGCCAAGGAGACCAACATTAAAGAAAATACGAGGGTTTGAGGAAGGAGGGGGAAAGCGACCGAAATGGCTGTGATCACAGAGAAAACTCTGCAGGAGTGTTCCCACCTAACAGATTTCGATAGTGGTTTCAGTGAGAAGGAAGAAGCAAACAACCTCCCCCTCCGCACCACAACACAAACACCAAGAAGTAAACAGCTTTTTTTTCTTTTTCTCCCCTTAAAAAGTTTGGAAGAAATCCTCAAACCTGACCCCATGCTAAAGTGTGAAGCACAAAAGCAGTTTCTGTCAAGTATCGTACAGCAATTAAAAGCCAAGGAGCAGAAAGGTGAAGGTTGTGTAAGTTCCGCACACAGGCAAAGGGGCTGGGCTGCATTTCTAAGCCTCCGAAACCCGAGGGCCGTGCTCGCTGAAGCAGGACTGCCTGTCCAAGGAGCCCGCTGCACCCCAGAGTCCCTGACTGAGACCGTGCGAGCAACCGGCCACTGCCACGGCCCCAGCCAGTGTCCCCGTCCCTCTTGAGTGTCCCTGCTCCCTCACAGGCACAGCCTGGTCCCTCCATATGCTGCTGGACCCAGCTTGTGCAGGTGGAACCGATGACCGCAGTCCCCAACCCATCATAGACTGCCATGGCATGTAGTTGTGGTTGTCACTAACTCTCTGCCCTCCTTGGACAGGCAGAGATCAGGCAAGAAGCTCACAAGGGAACAGAGCTTTACACTGAGATTAGTAAAAAAAAAAAAAAGGAGAGCAAATACTCGTGTGTATATTCCCACAGAAGAAAAGCACTTGCATGAACACCTGGAATGAAGAACCTGACCACACCAGGTTCTGGGCATGAGCTACCACAGCCTCTGCTGAAGGTATGGGTTTGGAGGCAGATGAATTCCACATAACCTTGAGACATGCCACTGAGTCCAGCAAGCATGTAAGCTTTTCCTTTCTCCCACCCACTACACCACAAGTTACCCTGGGATACACCCAGGAGTATCCATCATCCTATCACTGTCCTTACGGTCAGTCACGACTTCCTTTCCCTTATCCCAAACTTCTAAAGGGATTCTTTACAAAAAGGACATTTTCTTTAGCTTTCAAAATACTAACAAGCCTGCACTTCAGTTAGTGTGGTCTTATCACCAGTTTAACACCTCCCTGCCTGTGAGGGGCCCAAGCGCAAAGGAGGAGCTGCTGGAGTCCCGAGGATGGCAGAGATGCCAGCAAATTATTATTATTTTTGCATAACCCCTTGGGTCACCCCACACTCGGCAAGTGAGCAGCAAGAATTAAGGCCAATGCAACATGAGAGTTTGGATTCAGACAGCTTTGTGGAACAGCGATAGAGTAGTTCAGAGACTTGAAACAACGACAGTTTTACATTAAACAAGACACTAGGTAAACTCAGTGAGAAACTGGATTAAAGATCACAAGGTCTTTGATCCTAGATTACTAAGCATCACTAACCTGAATGCATTTAATTAAAGTAAAATGAAGTGCTTGTAGTTGTGTTTTCTTTGCTAGATAAACAGGACTTGCCTGCTAAGAGCCTGTCACCAGTAAGACCTGTGCTCTGCGAGCTTCTTTTCCTGGAAGGAGGGATCAGGAAACACGCCTTCGGAGGCTGTCAGAAGCAGCTGGCCCCAACTACGCTTTGGCCACTTGTTGACATTCAACCTGTTCTGGAGACGTTTGTGTCCTCTCAGTCATGGGAAATAAAATAAGCAATCTACAACACAGGTAATGGAACTTCTTCCTACTTCAAGGTTGCATCACCTGGAGTAGGCGTAGCAGGTTTGACGCTGGGGTATCCACAGCTCACAGCGAGGAGGCGGCATCAGTCACTGTATTCAGGAATCTCTGAGTCAGTGACATGCAAACCTACACCCATTCCACATTGCTTAACTTGTGTTTACTTTGTATGAAAAACTAAGGTGGGGATTAGCAGAAGCAGTGGACTCCTTTTGGCAGCATCGATGGCATGAAGCTATGCGGCAAATATTCAACAAACAGGGCCAGGGATGGGGCTTCACCGGGTAAGAGCATGGCACTGTGGAAGTCAGGATATGATAAAATCTGCCCCTTGGACTGCTTAGCTATGAGCACGCCGTTCCTCGCAACGAGCCCACACCTCAACACACGTTACTCCGAAGATGGTCACTCAGCTTCTGTGTGTTACGCTACCCTACACAAATTAAATTAATGATATAAATGCAAAAAAGATGCTAAGGAGTGATTCAATAGCCTTTATTTATGCTCAGATTTCAAGGACTGCTGGCTTTTACTTTGCAAGCTGATCCACACAGCAGTTCCCCACACCTGAAAGGAATGCCTTTGTACTGCAATTGCAGCCACGGAAATCAGGCTTGTAATAAGCAGACACAGCAACTTTTTTTTTTTTTTAAATCCAAACCACATCAGAGGGAGGCTTGAACCCTCCTCAGATTTACAACAGTTAGAAATCAGCAATTTTCCTTTTGTGTTTAAGAGTTGCATGAAACTCTCCGTCACATTTTCATTTTATCTTAGTTTCACCAGCTTGGCCTTCAGGGTGTAACCACCTTGCAATAGCTTTAATGGACACTGCTTCACAGCGCACAACTTAGCACGCAGCACTTCCATTTTTAAGCTTGGAAGTGGTTACTGGAATCTTACAGCCACCAAACTTCATCCACAAACTGCTATCTTTTATCTACCTGGCTCCATTACTATTAATTTGGCTCCCTCCTACATGAGCCTCCAGGGCACAGTATTGCAATTAAAACCACAAAGAAATACAAATAAATCCTGAGGAATATGCAACCCTCAACTCCCCCCTCGCACACAGTCCTTCAAGAAACAGGTTTACGAGTAGATAACTAATAGCTGGGAAGGAGCAGATCAAACATGGCGTGGGAAAGAGCTCCTGGAAGGAATAAAACAGATTCTCAACTATTTATCAGCCTGCTTTAGTCAAGTTGAACTCCCCGGAGCGGATTACGGCCCCGTGGGAGCA